GTTTTGTCACCGCGCTTTAGACACCGCGGTTTAGTCAGGCGCCCTTTTGTTGTGCGCGCATTTGTGGTGGAACCAATTCTAAAGAGGTTAGCTAACAGAGCATCTCCTAATACATTAGCCCCTCAGACCTTGCCCTGTCCTGTGATTGGCGAATTAGCAGTTGGTGTCATTGCCATGATGGCCTCTCTCAACAAGGGCTCTTGTCATGTAGAGTCACTTCCGCTCTTGATAAGTCAAAGCCAGACATTCCCTCATTTTAGGTATATTTTGGTTGGCCGCCTTTAATTTCCCCTATTCACTTTTGTGTCTTGTATTTTTTACTGGTTTGTTTCCAGGGTTGTTTTTTTTTAAGTTAAATTTTATTTTGTGTTGTAACACAATTGTGTAATTGTTTTAAATCACATTGGGTTTTTTTAAAGGTTTATAAACATTTAATAAATTGCACCATTAAAAAAAAATGTTATGGTAAAGGGCGTAAAAAAAAGAAGTGCAGTTTGAGGCCGATTTCCAATCAGCCAAAAATATAAAATGAGTTTTGGGATTAGAAAAAACAGGACAAAAAGAACAGTCTACAAAGAACACTTCAAGTTTTATGTCACTATTTCCCTCCCCCCCCCTCTAAAACAGTTTTAACAGTTTAAATGTGGGTTGCATTTATTCCTCTTTTAATGGAAGTTGCATAACTATAGAGGCGGCTTGTGTTTGATCTTCCTGTGCTGCATTTCAGCTCTTGTGCAAAGACCCCTTGGAACGGCTGGGGTGTGGAGGGTCTGGTGCTCAAGAGGTGAAAGACCACCCTCTGTTTAAACATCTGAATTTCAAGCGATTGGAAGCTGGGATGCTGGACCCACCTTTTAAACCTGATGTGAGTTGAAAATGCACATATGGTGCAGCCACGTTTTATGCTCTAACAATATTGTTTGCTATTTTAAATGACAGAAAATAACTCTTCTGTACATTATTTTTTTTCTTTCTAGCCCCAAGCTATTTATTGTAAAGATGTCTTGGATATTGAGCAGTTTTCCACAGTCAAAGGGGTAGAGCTAGAACCAACGGACCATGATTTTTATCATAAATTTGCAACAGGAAGTGTCCCTATTCCCTGGCAAAATGAGGTAGGTTTTCTTCTGGGAAATGATGCTTCTGAAAGGGGAATTAAACAGAAAAATGGGTTATCTGCTTTTGCTACAAAAACTGTCACTGATAGCTGATTTTGGATGCAGGCGACTCTGAGAAACAATTGGGTAGCCATAGCAAAACTATAGTAAGTTCTGAGATTTTTCATCATTATTATTTTGTAGATGATAGATACAGAATGTTTCAAAGAGCTGAATGTTTTTGGCCCAGATGGCATCATACCTCCTGATCTGGACTGGAAAGTGCAGCAGCCTCCCCTTCCCAAAAAGGGTCTGCTCCAGCGTCTCTTCAGCCGACAGGTAATTCATCTGACAGGTGAGAGTGGGATTGCCTGAGTTGGAGATCTCATTTGCCTTGAGATGCATTTGTTTGGGATGGTCCCCTTCGGCTCTTCCCATTAGGTGTTTTCTATAGCTGTTCATCTCAGCTTTCCCAGCACATCCTGTATTGGAGCATCTCTAGGACATAGTTAATTTATGACAGAGGAGAATATTTATAGCTCAGGGTTGGTAGGGGGGTCCTTGTTGCTGTCTGAGCTTGATTGTTTTCTTGCACACGTTTCATTGCCCAAACTAGGTAACATCAGCAGTGGAGTACAGTTAAAACTTAGTTGATTGGCAAGATCCTTAAGGTGTGAGTCCTTAATATCCAAAGAAACTTATTCTCTGAATAATCAGAAAAAGTTTAGTAAGCAACAGGTCTCAGTTTGCAAACCTGGAATGAATTTAAGTGTGACTGGTAGCAAAATACAATTATTTTAGGCTTGTTTGATTTGGATGGGTAACTAACAAACAGTCATGTTCCTTTTAATTGTATTAGCCTTATGACCCTTAACAAACAAAGAAAAATAATTTTAAGGCAATGTACAACTATCTCACAATTATCTCACATAAATATTGTCAGATTATTATACCAAAAGGATATTGCTATTTGTTAACCATAAAATGCAGTTTAGCAAGCAGGATTGAAAAGATATTTCTCTAAATTTTTGTTCCTGAAATAGAACTAGAATCAATTGCATCTCTTAAGGAAGACAATTTCACAGTTTAGAGGACAGCAAGAAGAAAACTCTTTGACAACTATCTAATAAACAATATTTACAAATTAGGTCATCTCAGGGCATCTTCTATATATACAGATAACCAAACAAATGTATAAAGAAGCAGGGCACCCTTTAAATAGTCATTTCATAAGTTTTTAAGGCTATTTTAAAATGAATTATGGTATATTGAATGGAGGACAGAAAACATTGAGCAATTATGCAGATTTTTCAATATTGATATAATAGAGTGCTAATATTAAGTAACAAACAGTCAAAAGCCTACATGCAACCTTTTATATAAGTTTCTGGATGCTTTTCATATGTTGCTATAAAGAGCATAAATCATCATGCCAAATTATAGCAACCCAGTAAAGGTCACAGCTGGAACATTTAAATGTAATTGTGCAAACATTTCTTGCCAAAGTTACGAGTTTGCTCTTTTGGAGGGTTGCAAACTCTTTCAAAACAAGTACTCTCTGAACCAGACTTCCTCTTCAGCAGGAGAACTGGACTTACAAACTTGTTCCTTTTTATCAAGCTCAAGCAGGATTGGAGGATATGAGCTGTTTCCTTCATACTAGTAGTTGCCCAAGGGTGATAGAGCTAAAGGCCATCAGCATATGGGTGATATCACATTCCAGAATTCCAAGCAATCTCTTCCACATAGTTTCGTTTATAAAACTATTCATTGAATAAGGTGGGCCACTTCACAATCCTGCACAAGATCATCATGGGAAAAGAGCTTGGTTTATTGTCTCCTGCAAACTTTCACAATCTTCATTTCCCATGACATTAATCATTTTTAGCTTATTTAATTAGCAAGGAGGGGCAATGTTAGATAAACATGTAGGAGCCTTCACTGCTTTAGATTCCCTGTTCACCTCCTTAAGCTCAAAGCAAGCAGATAAGTACTGGTAGTTGCTAGCTAATATAGTAAGTTATATTAATTCAGTTTAGTAATGGAGTCTCAGTCAGGGTGAACATTTTTTTCATCTACCAAGAATGATCTAATTCTGCCTTAAGGGGAAGGTCAAATTAGGAATGATAGGAGTAAGCCATTTTCATATTCCATGCAAGCAGGCTTTGACACTCTCTAAATGAAGCAGGACGTTTCCTAAGCACCTTCAGGTGGCCATTTTGATCCATTTGCTGTTTAAGGGGAAATTGATATTAGTAACAAGTCCAGAACAAACCATTATGCTATCAGACCATTAAATAAAGATAAATCAAAAGGCTTTTAACAGCACCTTTTTAAGCTAACCGGTTTTATTAAAAGGCATAAACTTTGGAGCTTTAGCTTATTTCATATAACTCTTCTTCCTTCAGAGTATCGTTTCCATCCATCAGATTACCAAATGAAGTATGTTTTATTGCATTACATACTCATTGGCACAAGTTGCTGATGGACATGAAATTTTGGGTTCATTCCTAACTAGACTTGAACATTTTACAGCCCCTGGGCCACATCTGGTCCTTTGGCTGTTCTTGTCTAGCCCTCATGAAATCAATCAGAAATTAGAAATCAAATGTAAATAAGTGTACACCATTCACACAGTACAACGGTGTTGTTTTCATTTTGAAGGCAGTTGCTATTTTTTTTTAATTTACATATGTGTGTGCATGCATGCCTATGAACCTTCACAGTCCTATTGGTTCGGTCCTCCACCACAGTCCCAGTTTTTCTTATGGCCCCTTTGAAAAATTAATTGTCCATCCCTGCTCCCAATTGAACAAACTTGATGGGTTTATTAAATTACCAGGACAAAGTAATGTGGGTTGGTCCAACACGAACCCTCAAAGTTGTTCCAAGTTGCTTTAGAATTTAAAACAATTGGGCAGCAGGTCATAAGGGATATCATTGTCACCTCATATATCAAAATTAGCAGATGGTTGAATGGTTCATCTGACTATAGACGTTTAGCATTCCCATACATTCCTGTTATTCCTCTTAGCCTTGCTTGATATTGGTCCGATCTCTGGGATATGTATTAGGCAGGGGTGAAATTCAACAGGCTCTGACAGGTTCTGGAGAACCGGTAGCGGAAATTTTGAGTAGTTCGGAGAACCGGCAAATACCACCTCTGGTTGGCCCCAGAGTGGGGTGGGAATGGAGATTTTGCAGTATCCTTCCCCTGCCACGCCCACAGAACCAGTAGTAAAAAAAATTGAATTTTACCACTGGTATTAGATCTGTTTCTTTCATCAAAAATCAAATCTTGGGTGATCGATGTCTTCCCAGTAACTGATCCTAGGAGCCTAAATTCAGTAAAGCTATCATAGCTGAATTTAAAAAATCTGGACTGCAACTAGCTGGCTGCTAATAGCAATTGTTGATGGAGGTTTTCTGGTCATCCAGAGTTTTGCATCTCAAATGCAGTAATTTTGTGTTAAGGTCATGTGTACCACTTTGTAGTTATCTCAGTTTCCTTCCTGAAGTAGCAGTCTGTATGGAGGAATAGGTTTTAAAGCCTACCATCTGTTCTTTGCAGTGATGATAACCACTCGTGAAGTCATTTCCATGAAGGTCCATTTAATGTAAACATTCCATTTGCTCCTGAATACAGGGGGAGGGGGATGTGCCCTCAAACCAAATGCTTTTAAAGCTCTTCCTGGGACAGCAGCATAGAAGCAGGGAGGCCTCTTTGCAAGGAACAAGCCTCCTGAGACAGCAGCATCACATCTGTAGCCCCGTCTTCAAAGGATGATGAGTCTGAGGCTGCTGAAGGGCCTCTTAAGAAACGAAAAGCAACACTTGAGTCTTCTTAAAGGCCTGTTCTCTATGGGGGGGGGGGCAGAATTTCTGCGTCCCATTGGGAAAACTCCCAAGCCGACAGAAGCAGGAGAGCTCAGAACCACTGAAAGTCCCATTGTTTTCTCCCAAGGCTGTTCCTTCTTTTTCGCATGGCTTTGTGATTTAAAAATAGAGGATTTTCCACAGCTCCCATGTAATTTAAAAACAATGCTGCCTCCTTTCTTTTAATTATTTATTTTATCTTGCATAGATATAGTAAACAAGGGCACTTTTGAATTGGCCTCTGTGTTCAATGGGAACTTGCTGCTTTTCCAGTAAAACTCCAGTAACCTCCTCTAGTGGCTGTGTTTGATGGCGGAGCAGGGATCCCTGGTTGGGCCTCTCACAGCCTGTGTTCGCTTTTTTCAGAGGTGAGGAGCCTCTTCTCTCCCAGCTGTTCCAGACTCCTCCACTGCAGGCATGACAAGACAAGGGGAAGGAATGTGGACTCCTAACCCTTTTCCCTTCCTTCCTGCCCATCCAGAAATGCGGCTTCTCTGCATTAATAATCCCTTGAGTCACTATTTCTGCTTCTGCAAAACACCAAGATTGCTTTATCTCGATCGTTTGGTATGGAGTTTTGAAAGATCTCCGTTCATTATGGCTCCCCTCCCGTATCTGTAGTCCCATTACTTGGAAATGAAAGGGTTTTTCTTTTCTTTTTTTCAACTCATACCAAAAGTCCTGGGGGATTTCTAAGATCCTGCTAATATTTTGAAACTTTCTGAATTTAGGTTCCTGGGTTAATTGCCTTAGTCTGATGGAATAAGTGGTCCATAGTTCTGTACTGCACATCTTCCAACTTTAATTTTACTGAGCTGAGTTATATTCTGATCTTTGGACTGGGTTCACTAATACGCAGTGATATTTGCTTTGTTCATGGCCGCTAATGGCATTTATGCTCTCCATAATCCATAAGTAAGCGTTACTGGTCCGTGGGAAATGCACAGAGCGGCCAGAATGAAATGCAATGGAAGGCCCAATGAGTTTTTGGCTCCAGGAGTGTACTTTGAAAGCAGGACTTTTGGCAGCCTTGCTTTAAGTGGGGCTGGGCCAAAAAGTGTATTTCTGAGTAATGGAGTTTCTCTGTGGGGAATGGGAATAAAATCCTGTGGCTCCCTGCTTGTTGAATAAGTGGACTCACTCTGTGCTTGCTGTGTGCTCTCCCTTTCCCTCTCTCCCCCTCTCCCTCCCTCCCTCCCTTCATTCTCCAGGACTGTTGCGGGAACTGCAGTGAAAGTGATGAGGAACCAACTCGCTTATGAGCTGACTCAGAAAAGAAGGCCCTCGCTTTCAGTCGAACACATGCCACCAACCAGCATGTGTGGAGTTCGTTGTTTCAGGGTGGCAGCAGATTCCCACCCCAGAAGGGAAGTGTTCGAAGACCGGGCAGAAGAGGAACCTCTGCAGAAACCTTCAGCGTACCGCTAGGGAGCTGTCTGTCTTGCTACCACTCTTCCATGATGAGAGAGTGATGATGGCAGGAGTGAATATGGAATATCCCAGGGCTGGCCCTGACCCCAGTTTTTGACCTGCTCATCTGCTGGTGTTTGTTTGTTTTTTTTTAAAAATATTTATATTACTATAAATGTGAATGTATGTATAAAACATATGTACATTCTTAATGGTTGGAAAAAGGGTCCTTCTGTATTTCTCTCTGCGCTTCCCTCTCTAGCCCATCATC